TCAGGCATATAAGTACTTAGTATGTACTAGCTCTATAGCCATTTTCACTAATTAGTCATAAAGAGTACTACTGCCCTTGATAATAGTAATATTTAATAATTGATATCTAAGATTATTGAATAGTTTCTTTATATGCATTCATTTTACAGTAAAAATTAAACAATCCAATAAAAAGTCAGGCTAGAATAAAAAACACAATCCAACTTTAGATTCTGGGAAACAAGTAGGTTGAAAATAAAAGAATGAAATAACAGGCATATGCAAATGGCCACCATTGGAAAGCTGAGTGATGAAGCCAATATCAGACACATAGACATAAAGAAGGACATTTTATAGTGATGAAAGGATCAATTTGTCAGCAGGATATGGCAGTTATAACCATATGTAAACCTAGTACCAAAACAGCAAAATACATGAAGCAAACTGACAGAAATGCAGGGAGAACTAGACAATTTAACAGTAATAGTTGGATACTTCAATGTTTCACTTTCAATAATGAATAGAACAGCCAGACCAAAGATCAGGAGGAAATGGAAGACTTGGCTAATACTATGAAACAATTAGACCTAACAATATCTACAGAACATGCCACTTGACAGTAGAATATATACTCTTCTCTGGTACACATAAAACATTCTCCAGGCTAGATCATACACTAGACTATAAAATAGATCTCAATAAATTAAAAAGGGTAGAAGTAATGCAAACTATGTTTTTCAGCTATAGTGAAATAAGATAGAAATCAATAGCAGAAAAGAATTGGGAAACTCATAAATATGTGGTAATACTCCTAAATAATATTTGTGTCAAAGAAGAAATTAAAAGACCAATGAAAGTAATGAAAATAAGGATCAGCATACCAAAAACTTACAGGGTGCAGCTAAGGCAAAACTTTTAGAGCATTTATAGTGTCTATTTTAAAAAAGAAGAGAGACTTGCCTGGGCAACATAGTGAGACCCTATCTACAAAAAAAAAAAAGAAAAGAAAAAAAAGAAAGACAAACCATAAAAAATTTGTACATGACTGTTTCAAATTATTCATAATCACCAAAAAGTGAAAACAATCAAAATGTCATCAACTGACAAATACATAAATGTGTTATATCTATAAAGTAGAACATTAATTGGCCAGAAAAGGAAATAAAGAACCAATACATGCACATGGGTGAACCTTGAAAACACTATGCCAAGTGAAAGAAATCAGTCACAAAAAATATATATGATTCCATTAATATGAAATGTCCAGAACAGAGAAATCTATACAGATGGGAAGTAGAATACTGTTTACTTAGGGCAGAGGAGAATGGAGTATGGATAGAGGAATGCCAGAGTGTGGAGTTTCTCTATGAGGTAATGAAATGTTCTAAAATTGACTGGCAATGGCTGCACAAATCAATGAATATGCTAAAAATCACTGAATTTACACTGTAAATGCGTCAGTTGGTATATGGATTATGTATCGATTAAGTTGTTTTAAAAAGGATTGAGAAAAATTGTTGTCGGTAGCTTTAAATACATATGAGTTAAACATATTTGAGAGAATTTGTACATTCAGTTTTAGCCAATAATAATATTATTACTAAGCATAAAAGTTTAGTTTTTCTTATCTTTAGCCAACTTAAGTTGTATTTTTGTCTGAATATTATCAAAGAAAACTCTATCATTTATACTTAATGTTCAGAATATTTTATATTTCAATTTAGCTTTTGTAATGAACTATTTCAAAAGTCTATATACAATTTCAAGGAGTAATTGGACTAGAGTTTATGTAATAATTCTCACTATGTCCTGTAAGAAGCTGTCAAACTATTTTCCAAAGTGGTTGTACCATTTTGCACATCCTCTTGAAATACACAAGAGTTGCAGTTGCTCTATATCTTTGCTAGCACTCTGTATTGTACTTTTAAAAAATTGAATTGGGAAAATGTTAATTAATAAGCATTCAGATATACTTTACAGTGACAACTGCCATACTAAAATTGTAAAATTTTAAATCTTTTTCTTAAAAAAGTGAGTGATTTTTTTTCTCTTGGAAACATAGCAACACAACCATAAGTATCTAAGCAAGTGTTTACATTTCATGTCTGTAATAAGGTAGACTGTGAACTTCTTTTATCTTTAAACTTAAGCAAAAATTTCATGTGATAATTTTCAGAAGTGTCAAATTTTTGAAGTGCAAACTTATAAAATTCTATAGTTGTATCTCTTTTTTGCTTTGAGTATACCTGACTTGAGAATACAGACAATTTTTCCTTTCTTAATTCCTTGAAAAAAATATTTCTGAAATAAGTCTTGTGTCTTCTCTGTGAATGGGTTGTTTTCAAGAGACCATCAGCTTTGTGCTTGGTTTCTCACAGTTGATACAAGTTTATCAAAAACATTAAAATATAATTTACAAAGAAAAACTTGTTTTTCAAAGGTTGCAAGAACAGGAAAGAAATAGCTTTTTTAATGTACATAAACACAAACATTTAAAGCTAGTCACACTGCCAGTAAATCTAATATAGTATCAAAAGTTCTATAAAAATGAACAAAAGATGCATGTTCACTTTCATTGCTCCCATAGCAAATGGAAATCTGCATGAAAATTGCGCTGCAGCAGTTTGTTGGTTCTAGTGTAAGAGTTCAGGTCCTTTTGTATGTTTTGCTCACTAATGTCCACATTCCAGATGAACTCAATTCCAAAGACAGAAATCAGGGAAAAGACTCCATAAAGCAAAGCACAAGGACACGCTACTACAAGTTGCTATCCTTCCATGACTAATGCAGAAATAAATATCTTGGAAACAGAAAAGCTAGACCATCCAACAATCTCAGCAGTGAGAATGACTCCTACCATTCCTTACAAAGAAAATATCATTGCGAAGCTGCAAAGTAAAATCATGAGCAGAAGACAATGTCCAAGGACACTTGCTACACAACCAAACAAAACACCTGCCATGCTCATTAAATTTAATTAAAAAACATTCCTAGACATCCAATTGCATGGATCCCACATACATAGCCAAGCTGGATTTTGCCAGCCAGTCACAATGTGGCTCCAGAGGCAAGACAAAAAACCATTGGTCCTGTCAAATCGGTTTCATCTGTGACACTTCCACCTGCTACTTTTAATGAATGTAACACTGTTCGTGTTTTTTGTCAGATGTGGTCAAGATTGATACCTAACTCTTCTAATAAAGGTGGCTCATCCTCAAAGTTGTTTCCATAGGAGGGCTGAGGTGAAGCTAGAGTATGTGCCTGAGTTGGCTGGAAAATCTGCCAGGGTATGGCCATTGTGGCTGCATCATGTCATGTCTGGAGCAACACATTGGCCTTGCTGTGAGTAGTCATAGTCAACATACTGTTTGCGGTAGAGTATTCCATTTCCTCCATACTTATAAGACTGCTGTGATAGATCATCGATGCTATAACCTGTCGGTAGGAACTTAAGTTTTCAAAGTTTAACATTGTAAATTATCAAACTCAACAGCAGTGGCTCCAGCAGCCCTAAATAACCCCCAAACTCAGTCTCAGAGTCTGAACTCACCCCCTGTATTGTTATTTTATTTTTTTTAGTTGGAGTCTCACTCCCACTCCCAGGCTGGAGTGCAGTGGCATGTTCATGGCCACCCCAGAGTTCTGGCGATCCTTCTGCCTCAGCCTTCCAAGTAGCAGGAACTACAAGTGTGCACTACCACGCCTGGTTAATTTTAAATTATTGTAGAGAGGAGGTCTCGCCAAGTTATCTGTGGGCTCAGGTAATCCACTCAGTCTCTAAAGTGCTAGGATTATAGGCTGAGCCACTATACTCCAGTCTGGGTGACAGAGTGAGACTCTGACAAAAAAAAAGCATTCTCATCTTACAGTTCCTTCATCAGATATGAGATTTATAAAATATTTCACAAAAAATTGTGGCTTTAAAAGTTTTTTAACAGTATGTTTAGAATAACTGACTTTTTTATTTTTTGAATTCCAATTTATTAACTATTTATTTATTTGATTTATTTGCTAATTTTGTTTTCAGAGACTATTTCTGTGCAGTAGGAAATAGGGACATTTTGAAGAATTTTGAGCAGGGAGCAATATACTGAAAGAGACATTAAAACCAAAATTTGCTTGATTGTAGACAACAATATAAATAGAAGTAGAAATAAATCCAGGAGTAAGAAAAAGCAGCTGTTACAATAAACTACGTGTGAAATAAATGATGACTTGGATAAGCATAGTACCAAATAGAATTATAATTATTAAAATTTCTTCTCTCTGAAAGGATGTGGCAAAAAGGGAACACTTCTACACTGTTGGTGGGAGTGTAAACTAGTACAACCTCTGTGAACAAAAGTTTGGTGATTCCTAAAAGATCTAAAAATTGACCTCCCATATTACCCTGCAATGCCTAGAGGAACTCAAATCACTCTGTAAAAAAGATATCTGCACATGCATGTTTATTGCAGTATTGTTCACTATAGAAAAAACATGGAACCAACCATGCTGCCCATTGAAAGAAGATTGGATTTAAAAAAAAAAAGTGGAACATATACATGATGGAATACTACACAGCCACAAAGATGGACAAAATTATGAACTTCACTGCAACTGGGATGGACTTAGAGTCTATAATACTGAGTGATCTATCACAGAAACTAAGAACTGAGTATTACATGTTTTCACTCATAAGCGAATCCTGAACAATAATCATAATACTATAAGAAAAGAATTGACAGTAGTGGGAAACTGCTGGGGGAGGGGTGGGATTGGCAGTAGTGGGAAACTGCCAAGGGAGGGGGGCACACTTCATTAGCAAGGTTACCTGCATAATGAACACTTGTATACCTAACCCTGAATTGTACCCCACATCTTTAAAATTAAAAATTTTTTTTAAAAATTCTTCTCTCAGCTTAACCAGAATGTGCTAGTGATTGAACAGACTTTCTTATGACCAGGGTTAGATGACTCCGCAGGACAATCAGGAGACCTCTGGCTGGCAACATGACCAGGCTCAACTTCCTTAATCTCATCTGGTCTGTTTCTCAAATGTCCTTCCTTTTTTTGTACTATGATTTCTCATTCCATCAGGAAATATAAATTTTGTAGGATACAATTTAGCCAAAATGCTGATATCTATTTGCTATATCACAAACCACCTCAAAGTTTAGGGTCTCAAAATAACCATCATTTACTGAGGTCATGTTTCTCAAGATTGACCATTTGGGCTGTGATCAGCCAGGTGGTTCTTCTGGTTTCTTCTGTGTCTGGTGGATGGCCTTGACAATCATGGCTTAACTCTCAAATGACCTGGTGCTTTGGCTACGATGGGTTGACCCTGTTCCATATCTTCTTGCAAGCGCCACTAGGCAGTTCTGGGCTATGTGCTCAGTAGTGGACAGGGTTCCAAGAGAGCTGAAGCCTGTGAGGTTTAAGGCCCAGGTTCAGCGTTTGCTGGGTCTTCTTTTATTGGACAAAATAAGTCAAAGACCAGATTCATGAAGCGCATACAGAGAGGAACAATTGTGGCTATTTTTGCAAACAATCTATTTCAGTGCCTGTCTTCTAACCTGAGAGATGATCATTTTTGTGGCATGCCTTGGAAAGAAAAGCATCAGAGAAACCCCTTTTCTGGGAGTTGAGGGTGAAGGAATGATTTCTAAGATAAGCTTCTACTATATTCATTGTTGCAGGATCTGGGAGTCTTAAAAATGAACCAGAATTAGGATATAAAGTAGAAATCTCAATTCCTGATGTCTGCTTCCCAAAAAGATAAGAAATAGTGGCATTATCAAGTGCAGCACTTTACTGCAAATATTAACCACCAACAACTGACCCTCTTGGGGATTTGCTATTTAGTTATGTACTGGAAACTGTGCCTGTAATTGTCAACAGTTTTGTTATCTATGAAATTATCTTCCTTTTAGCTGTGCTGGGCTTTCAGATGCATTAATGTAGCTTGATATCTCTTCCTGTGACTTCTGTAATTAAAAGCTTGTTGGATTAAGAAATAATATATCTAAGCACCGGTAATAAAGCCTGCTAATAATTAGGAGAGAAACATCAGCAAGGAGCAACATCAACCAGATATGAGGGATCTTCTGGCCAGGCAAAGCAAAAGACCCGGGGGCCTGCGGAGGATAGCAGGGCGGTAATCTGACTCTGAGAAACCAGCCTCCCGGACAGGGGTCGCTGCAGATGGAGGACCGCTGATGAGCAACCGGAGTGTAGCTCACTTGCCCTGTTCCAAGCTGGATCCCAGGTTCCAAAGAACAGTTCATGTGTGTATTTCCAATCGCTGTCTGTCTCCTTTTCCGCTTCCTTGAGTTTTTTTTTTTTTTTTTTTTTTTTTTTGGTGTGTGTGTGTGTGATAACAGATCAATTTAATTCTAGCACCTGGAACTTTATTCTTTTCCTCCTGGCGGCATGTGCCCCACCTTGGTCCTCGCAGCAGAAAACCTGTCCACTAGTTACAAGAATCAGACACTAGATGGCACCAGGTATTCGGATTAAAGTGCTTTCCTCCGCTCCATAGGCCCTTGGCGAGGGAAGGCCAGATCTGAAGACAGCCTGTCCCCACTGTCACTGCCATGCTCAGGGTCCTACTCCTCTCTCCCTCTTCTTCCCTATCTCTGCCCCATTTAAAAATCAGATTCCTTCCAGCAGCGGTTTTGGGTGATTTTGAAGGTCAAGGAAACGCATGTGTGTTTGGTATGGGGGAAGAGGTGGGAGAGGGAGTTTGCGGGTTCATCAAGAACTCTGGGTACCCCTTCTAAGGACACAGCTATAATAGAGGATGAGAAATGTACAACAGCTGCTTCGTTGAGCCCTGGCATCTCTTGAGCATCCCACTGGGCTGTTCTAAAGGCACCTCAAAGTATCCCCTCAAAAACTGAGTTCCTTATTTCCTTCTCTCCATCTTCTCCCATCCCAATCCACTTTTCTTTCTGTCGTTCCATCCTCATTTATGACATCTTTTAGCTCAATCATATCTGGAATTTAAAAGCATCCTATTTTCTCACACAACTTTCACCCCTTATGCAGCCTGCTCACCTAACATTGCCCCCTTCTTGTCTGCCCTTGACTCTTCCTTTCCTCTCCATCTGTGCTGAATAATCCTGCTGTTTGTAGGATTCTCTGTTTGTCTACTTACACAGCCCTGATGTTGGCACTGGGGATACAGCTGGGATGTCCAACTGAAACTTTAAGGATGCGTTGAATTTAGCCTGGCAAACGGGAATAAAAAACATTCATGCTAGAGTAATTGGCTCCAAATTGGGGATGATTTTGTCCCACAGAAGACACTTGGCAATGTCTGCAGACATTGTTGGTTGTTATCACCGAGGGAGGGAGAAGGATCACTCCTGACATCTAGTGGGTAGAGGCCAAAGATGCTGCTAAACATCCTGCAATTCCCAGCAACAAATAAGTATTCAGCCCCTCAATATTAATAGTGCTGAACTTGAGGAGTCCTGTGATAGAGAAGGCAGCAGAGAGAACTTTTTTTTTTTCTTTTGGAACTGGAAGAATTCTTTTAAAATGGGAGGGAGTCATGGGAGATTTGACTAGACTCCAGAGTGTGCAGAGCTGTACTCAGGGGTTTGGATTCCCTCCTAAGGCCAATGGAGAGTCATGGAAGTCACAGGAACCACTAAAGTCTTTATTCTAAGGGCCATTAAGAGTCATCAGTGGGAGTTATGAAGCCTTATAAATATTTAGTGAATGAATGGGCACCATTTGCATGACTGATTTGGACCAGGCTTCCTTGTCCAGACCTCTTTAAAAACAAAGCAGAACAAAAAGTTGGTATGCTATGAACCTTCTGAAGTGGTCTAAAAGTCTAATATTCAATTGTTTCATAAACAAATACATAGAACGATCAAACTCACATGGCAAAGCGCTGTTCTATGCTTTTCATGAAGATTTTTTCCCTTTCCATTTCATCTTCCCAAAAGCCCTATGTAATAGGGACTTTTTGGCTTTGCTTTGAAATGCTCATTTATTTAGATACTGACAGAGAAGCTTAGGAAGGATAAATAACCTCCCATATATCACACAACAGGTAAGAAGGTCAAGATTAAAAAAAAATTTAGCCTATAAACCATTTGATTGATTGATTGATTGATTGATTGTTGAGTTGGAGGCTCACTCTGTTGCCCAGACTGGAGTGTCGTGGCACACTCATGGCCATTCCAGTAGTGACCTGTTGGGCTCCAGCGATCCTTCCACCTCAGACTTCCAAGTAGCTGGAACTACAGGCATGCGCTACCACGCCGGGCTAATTTAAAAAAAAAATCTATTGTAGAGATGAGGTCTCACCAAGTTGCCCAGGCTGGTCTCAAACCTGCGGGCTTAGGCAATCCATTTGCCTTGGCCTCCCAAAGTCCTGGGATGACAGGTTGAACTACTGAGCCCGGTCAATAAGGTCAAGATTTTATT